TGCTGGTCTCAATCAACTCGATAAGCCGACCTGCATCTTTGTCGATCAACAACAGACTGTCTACGCGTCAGACTACTACAGTAATCGTGCGAGGAAATGGAATAAAGGTGCAAAAGAAGGAATTGTCGTCGCTGGAGGTCAAGGCTATTGGAATGCTCTGACACAATTGCATTATCCTAATGGACTGTTCGTCGATACGTTGGGTACTGTCTATGTGGTAGATACGGCAAATGATCGAGTGATGCGTTGGCCTATAGGAGCGAAACAAGGCATTGTTATTGTGGGTGGAAATGGTGAAGGAGCAGAAGCAAATCAGTTCAAGCTTCCCATTGGTTTGTCCTTCGATCGACAAGGCAATCTCTATGTCGTCGATTGTTACAATAATCGTGTTCAACGATTTTCAATCGAAAGAACTCAAAACGATGGATTTTTTTCTTTCCTTTCAAATAAATTTACGTGGAATTGATGAAATGGATGCTTATTGTATTCGCGCGCGCGCGACCAGGAACTATCCTGGTGTAGCCGTGGTGAGCGTAAAGCTCATGCACGCGCGGAAAGACCCACGTCATCCACATGCACCCATCCGATGTCCTGTGTCAGTGAGTCTGGGGGCCCAGTCGTGTGTCACGGACACCAAAGCAGTTCCTGGCCGGGCTTTTAGGGGCCACCCGGAAGTCCTTCATATAACGCGAACCTAACCTCAACGGATAGAATTCACCCTCTATTCTCATACTCAAAAAAGAAAAAAAAATAACTCACCCTGTTAACGATCACGTGATGCGATGATATTGATGACTAAAAGGAAAAGAAAAACAATGAATTGTTAAAAAAAGTCATAGAAGGACTTACCATCCTCCATATGATATAAAAAAAAAAAAAAAAAAAAAATTAAAACTATTATCGACGCCAAAATATAAGACAGGTGGCTATTTTTTTAATAACTTTTGATAGAAACAAGGGGATCCCGAAAGATGCGCACGGCGAAACTTGCGCACGGAGACTCTGAGGGCTCTGGCTGAGGCTGTGAAGTGCGGATGATGGTGCGGATGTAAGTGAGGGTGAGGGTGAAGGTGATGGTGAAGACAGTGAACTTGAAACGGTTCGTTCTGCTTCGAAACCCTCATTTTCCGTTCCGTGCGCAACTTTGGTCGTGCGCATCATTCGTGGACCCGAAACAAGATAGAGACCTGCGATTTTCAGCATTGGAAAGAAAATTATTTTCTTCATAAGAGTAAGGCAAAATCTGATTGGTCATTCATTGACCAATCAGGTGAACGGCATGGTCAACATTTTGTAAATGATATTGTGAAAGTTTTTCCCATTGAACTTTGACTTGAAATTAAATCATTAGATAGAAAAAATTGTTCTATTTCGATCTACGCAAGACCGAGCTCTCTAGCTTGTTTCATTCAGGAGTTATTGACATTTCCCCGAGACCACCAAAATCGACCGAACGGGCTCCAACCGAGCCAGAATGGATCTGGACATGGATAATCGACCAAGCTGAGTCTAGTGGCAACATTTGTTTTTATTGTCAAAGCTGTCTGAAACCAATATACAACTGTTTTCAATATTGCCACTCAATAGCCAAGAAAGCGTGAAAATAATGGAATGTTATATGCGAGTATCGCAGCACCAGATAACTTCGAAAATGAAAACAAATGTTA